ACAAAAGAAAGCCCTAGGCTTGCCCTCTGGTAGGATGTTTGAGAGATTACCTAACATAACAGTAGGAATAGTAAGGTCTATCTTTAAGAAATAGATAAACTTAACCCCAGGGGACTGCAGGAAAAGTTGACCTCAGAGCTGACTTAAGTGAGAGGGGGTGGTTGTAAATCATGATTTAACCCTAGGGTAGTTTTGCAGCCTATTTTTTTTTTTTCCTTTTTGTCTTTTTTCATGACCGGCAATGGATTGCAACCCTCAGTGTCGCGCCCGTACCGGCCCGGGACCGGCAAAGGGATCGCAACCCTCGGTGTTGCTCCCTGCACCTCGTTCAGCCAGTGAGCGGGAACCGGTCTGTATGTGGGATCCGAACCCTCGGCGGGAGCGTCACCGCACTTCCCAAGCGGCGTACTGTAGCAGTGCGCCACCGGGCCGGCCCTGAGCAGTTTCTTTTTATACAAGCTTGAGTTTCAAAAAAGTTAGCATACATTAAATGGTGAGAATCACATATTTACTACTTTATCAAGGGCCTAACTGAGTCTGTCTTAAAGGAATTCTGACTTTTTTCTTTTTTTTTTTTAACTTTCTGAATATTTCAAAACACATTTAAACAGAACAGCACTTTTTTTTCTTTTATCTTAATTCCTCACACTGCATAATCCTCCTAGTATAAAACTAGTCAAATACTACACAAGTAGCACTTAGCTATGGCTTTTCATAAAGTTCATAATCCAGTAACTACCTCATGCCTAAAAGACTAAGGGGACTAGAGGCTAGAAGCCTAACTAGTATCATCTTTTATTCTTTTGAGCTGTTCACTTCCCTGTTGCACTGTGACTTTCCCCAGCCTCTTACTGAGCTTGCCAAATGCCTGAAAGGCCTCAGGACATCTGACAGTCCACATCCTCTCCTCCCAGTGCAGCCCCTCTTTCTGCCAACAAGAAGCACAGCATTTTTAAATTTCCACTTTTAAACTTTAGAAGTTTCCATCCAGAGACCCATATCTTCAAAAAAAGAGAGAGAGAGGAAGCACTTCCAACTAGGCCAAAGTTGTTATCAGGAATGCAATCTCAAAGCAAAACTCAGTAGAAGAAAAGATGTGTAAGAACATCTGGGACAACCTTATACCTGTAGGGTGACAAACTGCTACATAGGCTTAGTTTTAGGTCCAGCAGAGCACAAAAAAGTGCCAGTTCCTAGAATGGTACTATCATTCATTAATTCATTTAACAAATATTAGTATGTACCTATGATGTCTGAGGCTCTGTTCTGGGTCCTGGGGTCCACCAGTGAATACAACAGACAGCAATCCCTGCCCACGTGGAGTTTATGTTAGGGTGGGGGGAACATACAGTAAGCAAGAAAAATGTAATAAGTCAGGGAAGGGGCATATCGAATGTTCAGGGAAGGAGTTGCAAGTTTAAGTGGGATGGTCAGGATATGCCTCACTAAGAAAGTGACATTTAAGTACAAATTCCCAGCTGTGGGATTTCAAGTGCCTCAGGAAGGGGTCTTTTGTACATCAATCCCACCATCACCAAACTTCAGCCCCTTGAAGGCATGGTATCCCCAGTTTCTAGCACAAATGTTTGTTAATCTTTTGTGTTTAAGAGAAAGAAAGCACCAATATCCAGACCTTGTCCTTAGAGAGGCTGAAACTTTCCAAGTGGAAAAACAACTAAGAATGCTGTTAAGAGCTTTATTGAGATGTAAACAAAATGTTTTAAGACATAGGATAACCAGTTACTCTGCTTGGGGGAAGGAAGTGTGCATTCAGTAAGGCTGTCCCAAAGGAGACGGCTTTAGAGCTGAATCTTGAGGAGTTAATGGTGGGTGATGGGGTATGGGTAGCAAGTTAGTTTTTCAGGAAGAAAAAAAAAGAAACAGTTTGAGCAAAGTCCCAAAGATGGAATCAAGAAGGAAATTTTCTCCCTGACTATCCCTGCCTAAGATACTCCATCCATTCCATGATGAAACAAGCACAAGATCACCCTTACTTAGGCTCTCTGGCCTACCTGTTGGGAAGTCCTTACCACTTACCACACCCTCATTTCTCCCCTAGCCAGCCTGAGAGGAAGAAACTGAGTCAGGTGCACATCCCTAGAATCTAGGCACACATCCCTAGAATTCATGGTTATCCTCTCCTAACTTCAGGACAATTACCACTGAATTGAGAGCCCAGGAGGTTTCATTCATCCAGGTACACTCAGGAGTATGTGCTTATAGTGGCAACGTGGCAACTGTCCCCATGATGGAAACGAAATGGGAAGACATCAGTGAGGTAAGTGGTCCAAAGTCTCTGCAACACATCTAAGGTGGAATCCAGGACCAAAACTTATGCTTCAGCTTGAAGGGGAATTTTTAATCACTTAGTACTCACCTGTGAGCTATTTAGTGCTCCTAACATCCAAAACAGCAGAGGCGGTGTGACAGGATAGGAACACAAGCTCTGTCCCCATCAGTTGGGTGATTTGGGACAAGACACTTAATCTCTCAGAGTCTCCTTTTCATTATGACATGCTTATATTTGTAGTGCTTACCGCACAGAGTTATCATGAGTATTGTATGAGACAATTATGTAAAGACCTTATTACAGTGCCTGGCTCAATGTATTCTAACAACCATTATTAGTAGGAGCCTTCATCAACCAGAATGCTACATACACTCACAGCTCAACTTCCCCAGAACAGGCCCCCAAGCTCCGTTTCACTGCTCTGACCTAGGGAGAGGAACCTGAGATTGTGTTAAATGTTCATCCCCTACCCAAGAAGAGCCTCACAAGCTAAGCTGGTGGTCTTTTTCTACCAGGATTTCCGGCAAGTGCTAAAAAACAAACGACCCCCAAAACCAGAAAACTTCATCAGGGATGCAACTCTGCATTAAATAAACACTTTAGGTCATTAACACCATAATATTAATGGATTTATGAGAGGTGGGGGTGGGGAGCTGAAAGAGCAGAAAAGAAGCCAGTTAAATATAGCAGGTCCAGGATGTACTGAAGACTAATTTCTGCCACATATGTACAAGGTCTAAAGTCAACCCTGCCAAAAGCAGTATTCTGGGACGCTAGGTCCTCTGGTCCTGAAGAAGCAGGGGATTGGGGTCGGGGAGGGGCGGGGGGGGGGGGGAGAAAAGGTTGTTTAACGAGAAACATCATCACTTTTTCAAACCACTAGAATTCTAACTAAATTATT